GTATGTAATGAACTCAAATACCACGGTCAATAAACCCAAATACAGAAAAAGCTAATTATGAAAGTAAATTTAAATACTTTCCGACTATAAAATGTCAAATCACACAGGGAAAAAAAACACACAAAATTTAATTGTTAAAAAAAAATGTCTATAGACCCTTTTGTATCTTCAAGCAGACAATTGCATAAATAATCAAGGTGAATAAATATTTACGAGTTGTGAAATTGCTACACGAATGCTACACAATGACTGTAGCGACTACAGAGGAATGTAAAAGTGTGTAATGGACCAAGTCACCCAGTGTTAGTTGCAAGTTAATGATATTATCATAGTCATGTCTAGCAGTCAATAGACTAACAGACAAAACCCTATATAAAGATCATCGGCCCAGCCAGTTCAAACCAGTATCTGGGTGCGCTCGTCTGTCCATAGAATACACAGTGGGGCGAGCTAGGTTGCTTGTCTACAGAAGCAATGGAACATTGCAGTGCTGATGTGCATTCCATACCAGATATAAACAGCTAATGTCTGCCACTTGTACTGACTGACCCAAGATTATTGGCTCTGCATTATCAACAAAACAATGCCAGTCAAGCATGTAAAGGAATGACTTCATCTAAACAAGGTCTGAGCTTGTCTCTGTACTAAAGAGACACAGCCTGTCTGCGGTCTGTCATGTTAGGCTTACGTCAGCTCACTCCATGTATAACCATAGAAAGTCCAGTCTTTGAACTAATTTTGACTTATAACTTAAAGATCCCTGTCCCACTGCACGGTATTTTTTCCTATATACAGTAGCCTCCCCTAAACATCTGTTCGGATTATAGCTGTAGCACACCTTGGCCAGGCCACTTCCGTTGTCCTGAGGTAGCTCAATCAGTTAGAGCGATAGTTTAACAATCTGAAGCCCAGAACTTGAATCCCAGTCTGGCCTCAGAACACTGTAGTTGATTTATATTTAGTTTCTTTCATATTTATTATATCTCATAAAAGTCCTGCAAGGCATGGTTTTCCTTTAGGAAAAGATTTATCAAAGCTATAGGCATGCCAGGAAAACAGTACTTAGATACAGTTTTGGTAGTGGTACGGGGGTCTTTAATTCTTTTTCATGCCATTCGCAATTATGAATGTTACGGATGGTCTGTTGGCAAAGTGGGTAGCATTTTTTAACTCCTGTTTTCTCTTATACAATGAATTAAGACCCTTTGTGCGACTATCCAGGCCAATAAGAGTGCGAAGTAGATAGAACTTGATCAATTATTGTTGTAAGATGCTATGAAATCACTTATTTTCACGTGGTTTTTTAGGTCACCTGAGCTTTAGCTCAAGTGACCTATTGCTATCCGTTTTCGTCCGTCGTCGTCCGTCGTCCGTCGTCCGTTAACATTTTACATTTCAAACTTAAAGTCAAGTTCTGCTGGGCCGATTGAACTGAAAGTTGGTAGGAATGATCGACTCATGGTCCTGACAAAGTGTTGTTATTTTTCAGGTCAATCAGAAATCCAATATGGCCACCACAGCCGCTATTTTGTAAATACCTATTCTAAACTTAAAAACAATTTCTAATAGGCCGATCTTATTTAAAATCGGTCTAGGAATGATCAGCTCATGGTCCTGACAAAGTTAAGTTAACATTATACTTAACTATTTTTTACTCAAATTGGTACATATTTCAACAACAAAAATAAATACTGTAGGACTCAGGTGACCGTTAAGGCCCATGGGCCTCTTGTTTATTTTGCTGATTTCTTGGTTAATCTTCAACCAAGAATTCATAGGTCCATTAAGTAATTATAAGTTTGATAAAAAGCAATCCTCCATCTGAGTGGGTACTCTGAATTCATGAATTCATGTACCCACGCAATGGTATTTTGTCGGGAAACAACAAAATTTGGGCCCCATAAAGATATCTGACTTCACAGTAATTAAAGTTAATATATGCATTAATGAAATTAAATGTTACGTAGGATAGTTTTCCAAACCATTTCTTTACAACACTACAATCTCCCTCTGCAGTATAACAATCTGACACCCCCTCCTGGAGAACAGAGAGCTGATCCTACCAGACCTAGCCACCACAACACAAGCTCCACACATAACACATAGCAGACATTCCACCAGTGCCATATGGGTGTCTGCCAGCCAGGATTCTATAACCACAGCACAAGCCGCCTAAACATCCTCCCCTATACACAATATACATCAGACTCTTCCACCCAATACAGCACTGTGGATTCTGCGTCCGATGTACATGAATGTTACTCTAAAACACTATGGACAGAACCCCAATCAATGTTTGTTTTACACATTTCCATTCATCTGCAAAGATTATGTTGGGAGTCAAAATCAATTTCGTGATGTTTTTTTCTAGTTCTGGCAAATTTCCATTTTGATCCTCCAAAGGCACATTGTTTACAAAATGTCTTTATTGATCGAGGATCTGGTGCCAATACATACAAGGCAAATACATCACATATATATTTGTTTTAAGTTTCCATAAATCTTTATTTCCAAAAACATAGAGGATTTATAATTCAGGGAAAGGGATATATTGATCATTATGAACAGGGATAAATATTTCAGGATGACTCCCTCCCCCACCCCCCACCCCACCCATGTTTATATTTGCTGTCTAATAGTTGCCTCTGACGTTAATGCTTGATAAAACACAACTTGTTATTGAAATTTGATGACCTGTTTCTGATCAGGGAACTAGGAATTAGGCCACAAGTCAGATCAAATGAAGTCTTAGTGGCCATGTGTGGGTGTGCCATTAGCATTAAAGTAAACCTGGGAAGTTTCTGTCAGTCCCCTTGAAGTATCACTGTCATATACTAAACATTAAGCCAAGTAGTGAAATGTCTGCGTCCTGATATATAAACCTATCTGCTCAAGCAAGCGTGTCCTGGTGAAGTCGCTCCTCTGTCCCAATTACATATCTGTCTGCTCATTCGGGCGTATCTGTGAATATCAGATATTTTTATTAAACCCCGATACAGTCCGACGACCAAGGTATGTCCTGATGTTCCACCATCGATGGCGCACGACCTGCTCTACACAGGTGACATGTAGTCTCGACTCGCACATCACCTTGTCCAGGTGATTCATCACAACAGACAGGATTACATAACATAGCTGTCTGACCCTTTACCACCACCACAAACATCACCTCTGAACTTTTGACCCTTTGGGGTTACTGACTACATATGCAATACACACAATTCCATTCCGATTCATCGGGAAATATGTAGGCTGTTTTTAGATATATATTCAATTGTGTTTAATACATAAACGTTTCGCAAAGTTTAATAGAACCTTATTATTTTTTTCCAATTATTATCCAGTAAAGTAACTAGACATTTCTCACCTATTTTGAAAAGTAAGAATATTACTTTTTGCAGGACAATTTGAAACATCTTTATACATAATGTATGACTTAAGTAACCGTTCATAGATTTTGACTAGGTCTTCAAAATCTTCACATTTATTTTATTCAAGAGGAAAACCTGATGGAGATTCCAGTAAACATCTTGAGGTAAAATCAGATATCTCTTATTGATGCCTAGAATAAAGGCTTAGTCAATGCCGCCATTACTCTAGGCTGGTATGGTATACAATGTTCCTCCCATGAGTAATAATTAATATACACAGATACACATAATTGTCAGATCTGTGTACATGCCAAAAACACGCTCCTGTCGCTGTTCTATTGACAACCTTCCCAGGCACTCACATTTAATAAGGTGGGTCATGTATATAAAACTAACAGTTTAATGTAGAACGAATTAAATTGTGTTCATATTTGCCATTGAATAGCAATAAAGAGTAAAACATCATTTACTGCCACGATCTGTCTTGAGAAATTTTGGCATTAATGAGGGCGAATTTATCATGACAGCGAATATAAGTACACAACATGAAATATATAGTAATACATGTAAATGGCAAAATAAGGATTTTATCGGAAAACGGCGAATACTTTACTGCACGAAAGTTTCCTGGTATAGAATAAATGAATTCTTACGAAAAGAGACAAAAGGACCTTGAAACATGTTGGCAATAAGGGAGGTGACAAATGAAACAAGGGACATTACATCAAGGTTATACCATAGAGATAACTAATAACAATCATATAGCCACCTTTGGCCTACCTTCTCCAAACGAAGGATCCACTCGTACCATAGCAAGTTCAGATGTTTCACTTCAAACCCGAAACTATTTACTCAAAAACCCTTCATAGAATCTTTCTGAAATATTACTGACAGTTTTGGTTTTCATGAAAAGCAATCTTGTTACTGCACAACTTACAGCATCATCATTTTCTGTATTATATATGTCGTCAAAATTGATGACATCATCATTTTCTGTATTTTATATCACCAGAATTGATGACATCATCATTTTCTGTATTCTATATCACAAGAATTGATGATACCATCATTTGTTGTGATCCATTACACACGAATTGATAGCATCAACAGCAGTTTTAATGTTCTATGTCATCATATTGCAGACCACACAAGTGCATCTTCTACCACAAAACATTTTTTCTCTCTCCAGAAGTTACAGCCAGTGGTGATATAAACTGATAAAGAGAAACTCAAGCATGTGCAGACAGGCCTCCAACTAAACCAGAAGTCTAATGACCCAGAAATGTACGACCTGCAGGTAAAATCATACCGACATTGAACAGAAAACAGAATGACTGGGAAAAGCTTAATTCTAGCATGTGTTTCTGCTTTACCAATGAATCATCCGGTTTTCAGTACAATTCAACAAAACTGGCTGTATTTTATTGAAAGTCCTGCGTCTATCACCAGCCACTGATTTCTCACCATATTTCACTCATTTCTTCCACAAAACCACTTCATCATCTTCAGCTACGTACACATCTGTTTATGCTGTAGTGACCTTGCTATATTGTGACCTTTCAAAGCAGTGACCTTGACCTTTCTCTGATGTGATTTTATTGTTAAGACCTATCTAAATATCAACTTTACCTCAATGTTGTCTTTCCCTTGCAAGCGTTTGATTTCCTTCAACAGCCTCTCCTTGTCATCCTGTGCCTCCTCCAAACGACATTCCGATTCTATCCTCATTTTCTCCATGTCCTTCTCTAGCTTCTCGTTCTGGTCGGCTAGTCGCTGTAACTTCTCCCTCGTAGACAACTTAAGGGCAGATAACTCCTGTAAAAACAAGTTATATTTCCAAAATCATTTGACAACTGTAGTCTGGAACAACTTCTTTCATGTGATTGACAATGGTGTATGCGAGAGGAAATCCATATTTTTTTTGTTGTGAGGTCGTCAACAACATGTGAAAGAAGAGGGGCTACTGTTCTGTGAAATTGTACTGTGATGAAACAGCACAATTACAGGTGAAAAATAATATCTACCTGTGAAAATTTAGACACACAAAAATTTCAGTATCATACACAACTCTAAACTTGTGTTTGTTTGTGCTTTAACGTCCTATTGACAGCTATGATTATTTACGGATAAGCTAACTAGGTTTTGTTTGTGGAGGGGAACTGGAGTTCCCAGAGAAGACCACCGACCTGCACCCCCTAGCTGGTGACTGCCACATGTAGGCCTCGAACATGCGACCCAGTGGTGGAAGGCAAGTGATTGTAGATGGTCACACGCCTTAACTACTCCACCACCGCGGCCCCATATCAACTTATACCAACACCAAAGTTTCAATATCAAGGAAAATTTGTTTTTAGAAATTATATTTACAAACAAAATCATACCTGTTTGAGAGATTTTTTTGATTGGATACATCTGTTTAGTTGTTCTTCACGCTTCTTCTGTAAATTTGAGAAGTCTTTTAGGAAATCCTCTTTTTCTTCCTGAGAGCTTCCGATTTTTCTGTTCAGAGCCCGCTGGACCATTTCCATCTCCTGGATTTCCACAACCTTTGCTGATTTGGGGGAAAGTGTAGAACCATTTTCTTCTCCTGAAAATATGAAAACTGATTTTGTTATTTTTATTCCAAAAAAAGAACTTCACCTTTGTAAATGTCAGATGTTTATAAATCAAATCAACTATATTTGTTTTATATCCGTGCTTATATTAGTCAGTGAACTTATACAAGAAGTCTCAATTAACTTTCTGGTCAATAATATTCAGAAACTGATTTTTTCTTTTATCAATAATTCCTATTTTGTTACTGTAGAGACAGTATAGTCAACAAATATTTGAGAAAACGCTTTTGATAATCTCGCCTGATGAATTAATTCAAGAAACAGGCATTTACTTAATTGGGTATTTTGAAATGTATATAACAAAATAAAAGAAAATAAGTCAGGTTAAAATGTCTCAGAATAAATAATTGTCAGATACTGAGTTCGCGATCAATTCTCTGACAAATCTATGTGAACAGATTTTGAGTGTTACATTGCATTTCTGTCATACTAAAAACACACAGACAGAATACTGACCATCAGACAGCTGTGAAGAATCTTCCGACTCGCTAAGGACCTCCCACTCTCGATATTCAGAAGTCTGCTTGTCCACACTTAGGGACGTAACTGTTACTTTATCCGGAATTGTCAGCTTCCTGTGCGGAATCGGAGTCTCTTCGTCTTCCGAGACATCGTCTAGATCAAGCTTTTGCTGCGAGGCCGGGGCCAGTGAAACATTTGGGGCAAATCCTCTTTCGTATCTAATGAATAAATTGGTTCCTCTTTGTTAAAATTTCATTATACAACTCTTTAAATAAGGAGTACATGGGAATTCAAGGTACATTTTCATCAATAAATATCCCTATATAGGGATTGTTTGCTGTATTAATTTGTCTCTGAACAGAAAATTTGTCGTGTGATTGCCCTCGAGGTTAATCTCTGGTGCACCTGCACTTTCATACAAGGGTCTCCTACAGCAACACAGCCAACGTTTCATGCACTCACACCAACTTTACCCTTTCACCACGCACTGTCAACCACGATGGACTCATCCAGATAATTGGATGGTAGAGTCTACTAAAGTTACCTAGGGGTGAAAGGGTTAAAGGTGCATGCTTACATCCAAAGCATTAACTCTTCTGTCATGGACATATGCTTTCGTCTTATAACCAATAAAACCTTATGTGGATCTGTTTAATTTATTTGTCTTTAACGTTGTATCAATATAACAGCTATGGTCATTTAGGCATTAAGGACGTGCCAGGTTTTGGTGGTGGAGGAACACCGGAGTACCCGGAGAAAAACCACAGACCTTTGGCACGTACTTGGCGACTGCCCCACGTAGGCCTTGAACCAAGTGTGACCCAGTGGTGGAGGGCGAGTGGAAGCAGAATGTCAAGACGCCAACCACTCGCCCACCGCAGCCCCCATGTAGATCTGTTATCTTATATATGAGATAAATAAAGCCAGGGAAATGATGTCCAAAATATAATACAGTTAGTGTACAGGAACTGAAGTGCAACAAAACAAGTGCACGGTTGTGATCATTTTTTTCCTTCTAAGTACTGATAAATACATTATCAGGATATAATAGTTCATGCTTTATCTTCAATACTAAGCATGACTCATAAAAAGCAGGTCAAAATAAAACCCAGAAGAGGTGAAGCTATCAAAAACTGAAGTTTCAACCCTCTCCAATGTTCCAGGTGAAACAACAATTAGAACGAGGACATTTTTGGGTGACATTACCACAAAACCTTAAACCCCAGAGATTGGCAGTTTGAAAGGGTTGATGGGACATCATGAGGTGTTGACAGCTAGCCAAACGTTTCACAAAGTCTGGTTTGCTTAATCTAGTATATTTATCAAGAAATATTATTAAACAAATCTGCCAGACTTGGATTCCAAATATTGCTCTGATGTTAAATGCTGACTTAGGTTGAGATATTCACTTACATTAACCTATCTTCTTAGTAAAGTACTGTCTATCTTCTTAGTAAAGTACTCTGTATTAACTCATTCACCCCTGAAGACACATTTGAACTCTTCCAATTCAAAGGTTAGAATAGTTCATTATGAAATTTCAGGGGAGAATGAGTTAAAACCCCATCGCCAGTGATCTGAGGACTCGCTGGCAGTAATTATTAAAAACAATAACATGAGAAAAGTACTTATAAACTTGGAGTAATGTTATCAGAGAGATTTTTATGACAACTTCATGTCCTTCCCACATAGTTACAGGTTTCTTTCCTAATGAGAGTTTGTGTAATTTGTTTATGTTAGTCTTTACCTGTTAACACATACATCGTGTATATATATAGGGTAGGGAGGTCACTGTTCTACGCATTCTATTCCCAGATATTATCAGCTAGAGTCACAGCGAATGAAATAAGGATACAGGTTTAATAGTAAATTGAAGTTTTGTTAAATTGTAAATCAGGTTTTTGTTGTATACAGGAATCTTTATTTAAAGTCACACATGCGTAGGAATAGGAAATATAGCTGTTAATTGCAACAAACCTATAAAATAACACAATAATATCACATAAGAATCTCTGGCCTATGTTAACTAGCTGGGCTAATCCTGTCCCACCTGTTATAACACTATACGGAGAACTTGTTTGTCACAATTTACCTTTCGTCTATTTTGCCCTCCATAAGTTGCAATTTTATCATTACAGCAGACATTAGTCAAAAACATAATAAACGTAGTTATTAAATCTTTCACCCCTATGTAGCTTTTTATCCTGATTTTATTTGCTGTGACTCTAGCTGATAATATCTGGGAATAGAATGCTTAGAACAGTGACCTCCCTACCCTATATACACGATGTATGTGTTAACAGGTAAAGACCAACTTAAACCAATAACACAAACTCTCATTAGGAAAGAAACTTGTAACTTAATGTGGGAAGGACATGTAGTTCTCACAAAAATCTCTCTGATAACAGTACTCCAAGTTTATAAGTACTTTTCTCATGTTAAATGATTTATTAATTACTGCCAGCGAGTCCTCAGATCACTGGCAATGGGTTTTTAACTCAATCTCCCCTGAAATTTCATAATGATCTATTCCAACCTTTGAATTGGAAGAGTTCAAATGTGTCTTTAGAGTGAATGAGTTAATTTAGATCACGTTGAGAACTGATAAAATACCACAAGTGCAACATAACATTAGGCTCCTAGATAGTATTTATCAGCATATATGCACATCCCTTTTTTGTACTTTATAAAAAATGAAATTGAGGCTTGGGTGCACTCACTAGTACGTGACACATTCAGTGTTGGTTTCTCAACATAACATACTGTAAAAACTCCATATGTTTACAGTTTTCAAAAATCTTCTCCGAAATGGACATTTTTTTGACATTTTGAAATCAGCAGGATGATAAAGTAAGAAAAATTTAAGGATGAAAAATAAGACCCAATATTTACTTTGTCAGTCAAAACAATGCTAACCTTTTGCATAACTACTAAATTAAGTTACAGATACTGCACATCAGAATTGATAACAGTTATCGAAAGGTAAACGAACATGAACATCGTATGATATCAATGTCACGCATAGGTGACATGGGCGCCCAACAAACTGTGCATTTAACAGTACATCTATATATAGCTTTTTACTAAGGCCAGCCAAACTGTGCTAAAATGTGTATTCACCAAGGTTGTAGTCCAAGATTAATCAACTGTGTTTTTTACAGGTCCTTTAAAGTGCATATTGAAATATTGCAAAATACTTTTTCTATTTTTCTGCTTCAGGTCAAAATATGCATATCCCCAAAAATCGCATATCATATTGAATTCCTATTAGCTTTGACCAATCACAGCAAAAGATAAGTACAATTGAAATATCTTTACCATTTCTTTCTATTTTTAATTTTCTCGAATCCTTCTCTTAGAAATGGCTGATAAAGAAAGTTTGATTAATTAATCGGAAATTAATAGCTGCCATATATCCGTGCCTTTCGTCATTAATTAATACTTCATTATTACCTTCAGCTACCTACTATTCCCAGAGATTTTAAGTACATTAGGATATTTGTGCATTAAAATTGTATTCTTCTTGGTTATACTCATTAAACCCTACATATCTAAACTTGACTTGCCCAATCTTTGATTTGGTAAGGTTCAAATTTGACTTTAGGGGGGTGAATGGGTTAAGCTCAATATAACTATGCAAGCCTAGGGGATTTCACTATATTTTACTCCAGGTGAACTTTCTGACAAAACACTGCAATGAATCAAGACCGACATTTCAATAACATTTAAATTTCGGCAGCAAGGAACCTGTGTATTTAGTTCTATAGGATGGCTTGTCAGACATACAGTCTATGCATGTACTACAAATTTATGACAGGATTTTTTTGTATTTTGAAAATGACATATTGATTCCGTGATCAAGACAGATGACACAGGTGTCACAATGACAAAGGATTTTAATGTTGGATAACTTGGAGTGGCTCTATCCAAAGAAAATCTCTGCCTAAGTCTAATCCTGACCCTTATACACCTTTATAAATCACTATTGGTTGTGGGTGGGGAGACAAAAACATGGTCTGCTGAGGGTAGAAACTAAAATTCAAAATCTAATTTTATAAAAAGACACAAGTTGCAAACTGTAAGATATTGAAATTTATTAAATAAATTCCTCATTTAGAAGAATTGAGGTTATAGCGAAAAAGGTGTGCTCTATGGGAACATAACTGTGAGCCCATTAATTTGATGTCTATGTAAGGGCCTTGCATGATAATTGGTTTCAATAAGTGGTCAATCTAACCATGCTCTACAGGATTGGCCTACCGGGCACAGTTAATGTTCCGACCTTGTACAGATGGTAATCTCAGTGAATACCACACAGCCAGGTCAACATTCTCTAATCACAACACTTACCGCTAAATCTAGTCTACCCAGGTATAGTGTCTGTATGTAGATAGCCTGTACAAGTTACATAAATGTAGGTAGTCTGTCGTCTACATATGTATGCTATCTGTGAAGTTGTATAGGAAGTGGTATTCTGTATGGGTTACAGTTAAATGTAGTCTACCAAGGTCCAGTTTGGTATTGATGTCGGTATGTAGCCTGTATAAGTTGCAAAGTTGTAGGTAGTCTGTCAGCTACTCACGTATGCTATCTGTGAAGTTGTATAGGAAGTGGTATTCTGTATGGGTTACAGTTAAATGTAGTCTACCAAGGTACAGTTTGGTATTGATGTCGGTATGTAGCCTGTATAAGTTGCAAAGTTGTAGGTAGTCTGTCAGCTACTCACGTATGCTATCTGTGAAGTTGTATAGGAAGTGGTATTCTGTATGGGATACAGTTAAATGTAGTCTACCCGGGTATAATGTTGATGTAGGTAGTCTGTCGGCTACTCACGTATGCTATCTGTGAAGTTGTATAGGAAGTGGTATTCTGTACGGGTTACAGTTAAATGTAGTCTACCCGGGTATAATGTCAATGTAGGTAGTCTGTCGGCTACTCACGTATGCTATCTGTGAAGTTGTATAGGAAGTGGTATTCTGTACAGGTTACAGTTAAATGTAGTCTACCCGGGCATAATGTCGATGTAGGTAGTCTGTTGCCTACCCAAATGGGTTAGTTACTTGTAGTCTATCCAGGTTGCTGTCTTTAGCACAGATAAGTCTTCCTGTAGATAGTTACTCAAGAAGAAATTATCTGCACTGTTAGAAGTCTCAAAACGTGATTCAACCAAAAAGCATGATTATTTCCTAATTTACTTGTTACATTGTGTACTATGCACAGCTGATTTTTACCTATTTGAACTCAAGCTTGGTAATGGTGACCACACCAATCATTCAAGTTTTACATGGGTCTTATAACAGGTAAAATGTGGTATATAGCTCTGCCTTGCTCAACACATACAGAACCACAGCTTCTAATCCCAACCCACCTGATAATTCCAGCCAAGAAACAGGTCATATAGAAAACCTCGCCAGTTTCTGCTTGGGTTGCTAATCATAAGAGATCTTGCCATGAAATCAGTAATTTTGAACCTGTACTTGTGGTGAGAGCTTAGGTTAACTTGGGTTTTAACACTGCACGCTACCAGGACATGCAAACGTTGAATTTTTCAGCAGTCCCTGACATATCTAATTTTGACAGGTAAACTTAAACCCAAGGTCAGTTAAAATCATGCAAGCGTGACATCTGAAGCAGATATAAAGGTATGTGCTGGAACTACACCAATTTCACCACAGCTAGATAGATATAGGAAAGTATACACATAGATGCTTGGCTGTGGATAGAAACCAATTTCACCACAGCAAAGCCCGACTATGTATGAAAGTGTGTAGTTTTTTTTCTATGGCGGCAAACCATGTCAGGCTTAAATATCCTTGTCCCATTGCACTGCCTATTCCCCCTACATACAGTAACCTCCCGTTAAGATCTGTAGTACATTTGGGCTCATACACTTCCGTTGTCCAGGTAGCTCAATCGGTTTTACAATCTGAAGTCCAGGGTTTGAATGCCAATCTGGTCCCGCATTATATTTTACACTCAGAACATGTTAGTTGATTATGTTTTGTTTATTTCACCTCCATCATGTTTTCTAAAAAGGTCTGCAAGATATACTTTTTCTTTTCATGAAGGATTTATTCAAGCTATAATCGTGCAAGAAAAATATGTTTCAAATGCATAGTTTCACATAGTGTCAATCTCTTATTTATTATGAGGAGATAACTCACCTAGATGATTCTGAAAGGGGGATAACTCTCTCAGGGTGGAGCAGAACTGGGGGCCCTGTGTGTAGATATGGTGGGGGGATGCCACTTAGTCTGAGGAAAAAAAAGCAAAAAACACAGAAATTAAACATGTCATTCTCTACAGAAAATTCTCAATTAAGCTTACAATTTTATTTATCAGTTCACAGATAAAAAGGATTTTCAAAATTATGAATTCAAGGTAATTTTCTTAATTTTTCGTTTTCTTCAATTTCAAATACTTAGTAAGATAATTTTTACAAATTGAAATCCCTTTTATACCTTTTCTATGACAATTATATACCAGAACTATGTCAATTTTAACGGTCAGTCTTTAAGTTTGATTCAGGACTCTAGAGCCTGGATATAGTCGAATGACTATATTTATAAACCTACCCTTCCCTCATGATGGCGGGCGCCGCTGGTAAAAGTTTCCCATCCTTGAGCGCTATGAGCAAGCTCGGTGACCATGGTCGGAAGGCAGACAGTCCACGCATCCCTGACACTGAATCTGCCCAGGATCCACTGCTTGATGTACTAGCACTATCTTCACTCTTCGCTCGCTTTAAGTCCAATGTTTCGCTGTCGTATGTCTGTCAAACAAAGGAAAATAGCCTTAAATAGAGCCATTCCTCTCCAAATTAATAAACCTTCTTTAAACATTTTTTACTGAAATATCTTCCTAGTGAATCCTTATGTACAGGCAAATATACAACATCAAGTGTTAAACTTTAGTATCTGGGACTCTTATATAGCAGCCATTCCAAGATGATGTGTCCAAGAGTATTACTCTTAAACTTACCCGATAAGAACTACATTAAAGTGTGTTCAAGCTTATATATCAAACATTTTATAATAACTTGTTATCCCAAATCAGTAAATTTTCTTTACCGAAGAGTGCAATATAGAAAAAGTATTTCAGAATCAACCAGATGTGAGGAAAGTACGCCAATAGATTTGATACATTGAAGTTAGTTTGGGGTATTCGTATATAAAAATATGATGTTTGTTCAGAGACCTCTATTACAACGGCACAACATGTAAATTACATAGCTTATACTATCACTTACAGATATATTGATATATTTAATCAATATAAGCTGTGTCGCCTAACAGTTACCAATGCCATCAGGGAGTCAACAGATCACAAGGTCTCCCTGGTCAAACAACGCACATAGTCTGTCTTGTTAAATTATTAATAATGACAATTGGCTGTCTCCCCAAATTAAATGCATATGAAAACAGGAACAATGTGTCTCAAATTAAAATATTGATGAAATCAATTTAAACCAGTTTACCAGAGCATATCAAATGCTGTATATTATTGTACATCATTATTAGATCAATGCTCAAGTGTCATAGGGTTCGCCCCAGGCCATTTAGCTGATACAGACCGGAGCCTGATCAGCTTCAGGTACAAATTCACCCTGTCATATCAGCTTAGGTTCAACAGGCCCCCTGAAAGAGGCTATAGTCACCCTAAATTTCAACCCCAGGAAAATTCATATTCAAATACCCCAATTAAAGATCAGAACTTATATATGTAGTTTTGATGTATTGAACTTGTACATTAGCTATTAAAAAGATCCATAGCAAGGTTAATGTAGTAAATAATAAGACATTAAGGCTGATGTCTTCATAAAAATTGTTCACCAGACTTATAACATGTCATCCTCTTAAGCGACCAAAATGTACATTTATGTATATTATGAAATGACATATTATCCGAAGTTCATATATATGCCTAGGTCATCCGGAGCTTACTTTCTCTTTTTCTAGCTGTAGAGAGACTTAACATAAGATAGATGTTTCCATGCGAAACGACTAAAATCATAGTAAAATTCCCTGGTAATATATTTAAGCAGATTATAAGCAAGAAAACAAATGCTACGTTACCTAAATTGATAAATGAACTTTAGAGGATGTACCATTTCATAACTGTCTGTCATGTTATGAATGTGCTAGACATGTTATAAACATTGAAACTGAAAAGTGCTTTAATGTTTATAACATGTCTAGCTTTTCTATAACAACATCAAATGTTATGAAAGGACACTATATAAAGTTTATGTGTTCATAACGGCCACAAGGCCGTTGGTTTTACATATATACCGGTAAAATATGTAACTCAGGCATTTTACTATGATTTTTGTGCATTCCCATAGCAACAATCATCTACTTTAAAGGCCGGCATGCCCTTCCACATCTAAAATAAGCTCTGCATGACCTAGGTGCATAATCAAACTTTATATATGTCATTTCGTAGCATTCAGTTTGGCTTCGAAAGAGATTACTTCAACAAACGTTGAAAATGAAACATATCAGCTTAAAAAAATTCAGGGGAGAACCTGGTATATGATGTACCGGTTCTGTCATTGCAAGGTGGTCGGCGTCTCACCTAGAAATTTATCAATATGTTATCTAATGTCCTTTATCTGTACTATATGGTGCTTGTTTTTCACAAGGTCAAATTTGAGGTCAACTTTTTGCGGTTTTGTTTCTAGCACAAAAATTGGTAAATTTTAAATTTTGCATCACCTTTAATGGTTAAATATTTAGTCTAAATCTCTATCAGAATGAAAATGATTTCCCTGTTTGTTTGTAATTTGTATATTTTTCAGGCAACAAATATGCAGTGAAAGTACCTGGCGACTGCGCCATGTAGGCCTTAACCCACGACCCAGTGGTAGAGTGGGAGGGCAAGTGATCATTGACTATAACTACAGTATCCGTCTAATGGCGACCATAACCTGTGGGAGACCATGTATAAGCTAGCACAGGCAGTTTTATATTTCAACTTTAACTCATTCACACCTGAAATTTCATAATGATCTATTCCAACCTTTGATTTAGAAGAGATCAACTGTGTCTTCGGGGGTGAATGAGTTAATGATTTCATTGACATTAATGACCACGTTATCCAAGCCAATTGATGGAAGTATTAGTAAAAAAAAAATCAAAATATTGTAGATACTGTATTTTAATTACAACCATTATTGTAATCCCCAACCATTACTGTAACCCAGGTAACGTGCAAAGGCAACCACTATTTTGCACAAAATAGCGTTTGTTACAGATACAAGAGATCTCAACAAGAGAGGTAGAGGTCTAGACATAAATAAATATATAATGACCATGGCCAGGGTCTAATGGCTAGGACTTTAAATCAATAGTGTCGACAGCAGTGGCACCTCCATACAATCCAGCAGACTGGAACCTGACATAGACTTGTAAAGGTCCCAATGACGGGAATGAAAAAATCAACTTAGGAATTAGTTAGACTAAACCTTCTGGTATTACTTTCTCACAAATAGGACGCTTAAAACATTGGTATGCACAAGTTTCTGTAATAGGAACAGTTTTTTCTTGATGTACTGAAGGACCCCAAGAAGGCTGCAGAGAATCTCAGTGGTCACTCTTGTGTGTTTGTTTGATATTTTCCTTTACATATGAACTCAGTGTTATTTTTGTATCTACAATATACATTATTGGATGTGTTATGCTTAAAATGATATACTTATTTGGCAACAAGCCCATCCCTGTTCCTACCAAGTACATGCAGTTAATTGGAAATGCAAGTTTTTAAGGGTGCAAAAAATTCCAGGTTGACAACATCAGAAAACATGTTTAACGCTTTCACCCCTATGTAACTTTAGTAGACTCTACCATGGAATGATATGGAAGGGTCCATTATGGTCTACAGTGGTGAAAGGGTTAAACATCAACAAGCTTGTGGACTGCTTTCAATAAATGCCTCATTCCTAGGAGGATTGATTGTATCATTTCATAAACTAAAACAAATTTAGATAAATGACAATTCAAGAATCAGAAACATTTTAGAGCTTGCTTTAATCTCATATAGCAACATATTAATGCAAGCTGTCTACTTTCCATTGCCTAGGGTGTTCTTATCTGTCCTGAATGGCTACAGCAAATTAAAAGTGTGTGGTCAGCAGGTCCAACTTATTCAGCTGTGGTCAATATACTGCAGGCTAGCTACAGTCAGTGGTCAGAAAGGTCTGGTCAAGTTGGCACTATGTCAAAATCACCTTGGTCACTGACCAGGGAAGGCAGCAGCAACATATGCCTTGTATATGATAGCCCATTATTCATAATGAAGTAGTACACAAATAATACACAGTCTGCTATACTTGCTTTCATTGATCAATGGACAAGCCAAGCCTGCCATATACATGTACCTGCTCACCTTTTGAAATTTCCTCAGGGGAGATTCTACATGCTTAAAATTCAAAATATCAGTATAATAAAGTGTGTTTATTGTTATGAATTTTGAGCATACAGAATATCCCCCATTGAAAGTTCAAGGGTTAGCACATTTGTTGGTTGAAAATCTAAATGTTGATTTCAGGGTCAAAATGTGGGTGTCTTCCTCCAATTTATCACAAACCTGTTGAATCTTGTTATAGTAATACAAGCAATTTTCAGACCATGAAATACAACGTTCTGTATTGCACGGAACTACATTTTATGGGAATCCCCTTCGGCCTTGTCATGGCGAACTGAAAAATTTCCCGGTATTTGCAAAAAATATCAAAGTTTATAAAATCTTTGTATTGATCTCTACCAAATACGGAAGGTATGTGATAAAAGCAAGAAAACACACTTGTGTTTTTCTAACGAATCAGAAAGCACTCATTTATTGCGCGGACGTATATATTCATCTGTGCAATAAACTCATGCTTTCCGATTCGTTAGAATACACAAGTGTGTGGTCTTGCATATATATACGAGGGCGAGTTGGCAAGAACATGTATGGACATGTATATAAACCCTAAAACAATCCCTTCAGAAATCAGGAGGGATGAAATTGCAGGGTTTGAAATAAGCACATACCAGTATCTACTAGCAATTGCCTTTTAATTTTAAGAATATGCTAGTTAATCCAAAAAAGGGATGAGCAAGTTTGACTGCCGCAGTGTTTTTGCAGGGTGTGCCTCCTCAAATTTTCACAGACCCGTTATATTTCAACAGTAGGTGAACGCAAACTACTGGACAAATTTTAATTATAATCCTGAATACACTTTTTTATCAGATAGACTGATCTGTTTGCGATAGTAAATTAAAGTGCCCATCCATACTCTCATTATAAGCACCTATAAGGCCTATAATATAACAACATATATGTGTCAACTTGGTAAGATACTAGCCGCTTCCTACCGACTCGGTTAGGGAGAATTTCTTTAGCTCATTCGGTAGAGCACAAGACTAGTAAACTAAAGGTCCCTAGTTCGACTCCTAGCAGAGGCATTGACAAAATAATGACCACTGATAAAGGCTGCATACCCATTTTCTAGAAATGTTAGAAAATATTGTGATCTGCACGTTTGGTTTGTCTGGGCATGAAGTCTTTGCCAGCTGGCATAATATAATTTCTATACCTATTCACTAAGCAATATTTATGAATTTTACTTATATTTTTTATTTCGAATTCAAAATTTGTTATCTACATTGAAAATGTTATGTTCTGCATAACCAATTTCTTTAAAGTAAATTCTGTCAATCTAAAATCATCTTGTTAATCCAGTGTTTAACCATTGACACCCAAATGAATTAAGTTACTGAAAACAATGTC